AAATCAGTCAGGCTGTAGAATGAAGGATTCATTGAAGGGGAGCAATAGTAGACACTGGGAGACCGGTTTGGAGGCTACTGGAGAATTATTGGTAAAAAAAAAATAAATAAATAAAAGTGGCATCTTAAAATAGGATTACAGCAGTAGAAATGGTGAAACGTGGACATATTTGAGCACTTTGGAATTCCCTGTTTAGGGAATAGGATCAGCAGGATTTAGTACTTGCTGGGAAATGAGAGAAGCTCAGGAATGACTGTTGGTGTTCTCATTTGAGCACCAACTAGGTGATGAGAAAACCAGATGAAAGGCAAGTTTAGGGAAGATGATAAAAACAGTTTTTAATATGCTGAGTCTAAAGAGCATGTGAGATATCCAAGTAGACACGTGAAATAATTGAGTATTCGGGCATATTATTCCAAATATAGATGAATACTGTAAACAGAAATTCAGAGAGTCTTCACAACATAGAAGGTATATCAGGTTGTGGTTGTGGTCCTGGAGACAGTGAATGGAGAAAAAGAAGGAATGAGGTCCAGTGTCAGATAAAGGGGATCATTTTTCATGGGCAAGTGAGCAGTATGTTGGCTATTGTCATCAGTAGCAATTTCACAGAAAAATTTTTAAAAAGTACTTAATTTGTCTTAATATAAAATTCTATCTGATGAAAATATGTATCTTTCTGGTAATGTAGGTTGATTCAGAGATAAAGGTCAAAAAATTTCCTGGGACATTTGGTTAACATTTTACTTTCAGTGGTTCTCAATTGGAGAATAAACCACCTTCTGACGAGGGGGAGATTAGAAATAAATGGGACCCTTTTTTTATTGTCACAATGAGTATGAGACACTATTATCATATAATGGGTTGGGGGCAAAGCACATTATGGTCAAACCCAAGATGATGATAGTACTCCCAACTGAGAGACACCGATAGACTGTGGCTTGCAGATTATAAAGTCCCAGCTGCCTGCCAAGGAGGGTTCCTGGTCCTCTCTAGTTTCTGTCCTCTGTAGTACTTTTTTTTTCCTGGTTTAAATAAGTGGTCTGTCACCTGGGGCCTATGGGAGATGACATCTCTGCCTCTGCTAGCTTGAATTATTGTTCTGTACCTCGTGGCTCTTCTACAGCTATACAGGGCTATGTACATCATGCCTGTATAAATCAACTTTTGAGTGTGCTGCCATTTTTGTTGGGATCCTGACTTTCATAGCTATCTTTTGCACATATTTGTCACAAATATAGTTTCCTATGGATTTTGTAATTCTGCATTCCCTGTTAAGTTACAGGAAGTTGTTGGATAAAGAGTTATCTTTTTATTCCCTTTTTTTTTGATCCAAGTCTTTTAGGGGCAAACTTGTCATTTATTTTTGTAATTTAAGCAGCCTGGATGTTTCAGTGGAGTTGGCTTTTCCTTCTGCTTGAAGGTGGTCCCAGTAGGACCAAATAGAAACAGACACAATTTCCTCATTAAGCAATTTATTTAAAAATATATGTGCTCAAGATCTTACTAAAGAAATAACCCAGTTATGACTCCAGCTTTCTTTAACAGAGCATGGAAAAGTCAGTTTGAACCTAGAAAAAACTTAAGGTCATATTTTTCCAGTCAACCATGTCAGTCATAAAGTCAGCGTAGATGGAATTGAATGAGAGAGGGAATAAAACTTTGCTTTTCTTTGATGACTCAAGATCAGCAGAAACCCAGAGTTCCTATTTTGAACACTTTACAAACCCAACTATAAATGGAGACAGTGACTGAGCAACTGGGCTAATGGCAGGCATGCTCTCTGCTGCAGCTGTAAAGTCTGCCCTCAAAAGCAGATGCTTAAAAATTCACATGCTTTGAAATAAAAAACCGGTAACATAAAGTAAACACAAAAGAATTAATGTAGACCTAACTCCTTAGAAGCAACTTTTTCCACAAATTTCTCTTTCCCTCTTTCTTGCTTTCTTGGCAAACACACACACACACACACACACACGTACACACACACGTACAATTTAAGCATTCCTAAAGCCTTTGAATTAAAGCACTGGTGCATAATTTCAGGAGCCATTGCTTTTTTCTAGGAAATATCTCACTAATACTAGCTCTCTTTGTGGGAAGAGAAGATTTCCCTCAACTTTATTATGAATTCTTTTGTGTACATGCTGGCATGTTTCTGAATATTTTACATATCATAACTATGTGTTTGAAAATAGCATATTTAGCTATATATATTTTTTCCTTTGCAATTTTATATGCTTTACCGCATTGGAAGTGGAAGGGGTAACGAACAGGAGTTATTTTAAAGCATATTTATTTATGTTCTTCATGGTTAAAGAACACTGTGCCAACATTCTCCTGGCCCACATATTCAATTAAATACATAGTGAATCTTTTCTACTTACTGAATTATTTGGTGCTTCCAAGCATTTATTTTTGGCATTTCATTTCATCTTTGTTTTTACAGAAATTTTTGAAGTTTTATCATGATTTAACATTTTTATTTTGAAAATCAAGCACATTTAAAAATTACTCTACTGCAGCTGTAAAATTTGCCCCCAAAACAGATACTTCAAAATTCACATATTTTGAAAGTAAAAATACAAATATATAAAATCTATAGATACAAATTATTTATCTATTATTTATATATATATAAATCTACTGATATAATCATCCATAAATACAGATATATCTAGATAGATATATAATTTTCTAAGACTTTAATATCTGTAGCAGTCCTTGTTGTATGGTATTTTTCCATTAGTCATTTTCTAAGCATCGTCAACAAGTACAGCTCTATTAGCTTAATGGAGGGAGGGTAGGATCCTAGCATGGAGAGTGTATGTCTCCTTGTCCCCCAGGAGTTTATAGTCTGTAGAGGAGCTAATGCATAATAGCTGTTGAGTGGATGGCTACATTACTAATCAGAATTGGCTGTGGCCATGAGACAAGAAAAGACAAGGTGTACCTCTTGTGTGTCTGCTCTCTGTTCCAGCAGGCTCTCAATTTCCCTTTTGTTCACGTCAAAATAGCACATTACATTTCTCTGACTTGCTACTCTGTAACAAATTTTTAAGTATACAGTACATTGCTGTTGACTATAGGTACAATGCTGAATAGCAGACTTGTAGAGCTTATTCATCTTGCTTGAGTAAAACTATATGCCCACTGATCAGTAACTCCCCATTTCATCCTCCTCCCAGCCAATGGCAACTACCCTTCCACCATTTGATTCTATGAATTTGACTATACCTCAAATAGTAAAATCATGCAGCATTTGCCCTTCCGCGACTGTCTTACTTCACTTAGCATAACATCCTCAGGGTTCATCCATGTTGTTGCATATCACAGAATTTTCTTCTTTTTGAAAGCTTGAATGGTATTTCAGTATCTCTTTAATGCATATAGCAAGCTCATGTACTTTATTCATTTTTCTATCAATAGACATGTAAGTTGTTTTTATATCTTGGCTATTGTGGATAGTGCTTCAGTGAACATAGGAGTGCTAATATCTCTTTGAGATTTGGATTTCAATTTTGGGGAGGTAAATACCCAGTAAATAATAAGATTACTAGATTCTATGGTAGTTCTATTTTTTTGATTTTTTGAGGAGCTTTCATACTGTTTTCCATAGCAGTTGCACTATTTTGCATTCCCACCAACAGTGTGCTAGGATTCCAACATCCAAGCCAAAACTTGTTATGTTTAATTTTTATTTTTTTTACATAGTCATCCTGATACCTGTGAGGTTATAGCTCATTGTAGTTTTGATTTGCATTTCCTTATGATTATTAAAGTTGAACATTTTTTCATCTACTTGTTGGCAATGTGCATGTCTTCTTTAGGGAAATGTCTATTCAATTCCTTAGCCCATTTTTAAACCAGGTTATTAGTCTTTTTATTACTATTGAGATTATAATATTTTTGTTATTAACCCCTTATCAGATATGTCATTTGCAAAAATTTTCTTCCATTCTACAGATTGTCTTTTCACTCTATTGATTGTTTCTATTGTTGTATGGAACTTTTTAGTTTGATACAGTCTCACTTGTTTATTGTTGTTTTTATTGTCTGTGTTTTTGATATCATCATCCATGAGATCATTGCCAAGACCAACGTCATAAAACTTTTTCTCTTTGTCTTCTTTTAGAATTTTCAGTTTCAGGTCTTGTGATTTTTATATCTTTAAGTCTTTAATCCGTGTTTAGTTCATGGTGTAAGATAAGGGTCCAGTTTCACTGTTCTACATGTGGATATCTAGTTTTTCCAACACCATTTGTTGAAGAGACTGTCCTTTCCCATTGTGTTTTCTTGGCAACCTTGTCAAAAATCAATCAACTGTATACACATGGATTTATTTCTGGGCTCTCTATTGCTTCTATTGCTCTGTATGTTTGTCTTTATGTCAGTACCACATTGTTTTGATTACTGTAGCTTTATAATATATTTTGATAAAAAGAGTTATAATGACTCCAGCTTTATACTTCCTTCTCAAGATTGATTTAGCTATTCATGGTCTTTTGTGGTTCCATATGAATTTTAGAATTATTTTCTATTTCTGTAAAATATGACATTTGGGAATTTTGATAGGGATTACACTCAATCTATAGATCACTTTGTGTAGTATGGACATTTTAACAATATTAAATCTTCTAATCCATGAACACAAATGTCTTTCCATTTTTTTGTGTCTTAATTTCTTTCATTAATGTTTTATAGTTTATAGCACACGTGTTTCTCTTCCTTAGATAAGCTTAGTGTTTTATTCTTTTTAATGCTATTGTAAAGGGAATTGTTTCCTTAATTTCCTTTTTTAGTGTTCATTGGTAGCCCACAGAAACAACTGACTTTTTGATAGTCTGTGAACTCTTTGAAGACAAGACCTTGCCTCATTTGTATTTTACATATTAATACATACATAATAATTAGCACTTATTTGATCATTCATGTATGCTTTTTTTTTTTTTTTCATTGCCAATAATCTTTGTGTTCTTTTATTCTCTACTTTACTTTAGGGCTCTACTACTTCAACAGCCTCTCCTCCAGTTTCTACTCCAGTTACAGGACACAAGAGAATGGTCATCCCAAACCAACCTCCTCTAACAGCAACCAAAAAGTCTACATTGAAACCGCAACCTGCACCCCAGGCTGGACCCATACCCGTGGCTCCAATTGGAACGCTCAAACCCCAGCCTCAGCCAGTCCCAGCCTCCTACACCACAGCATCCACCTCTTCAAGACCCACCTTCAACGTGCAAGTGAAGTCAGCCCAGCCTAGCCCTCATTACATTGCACCCCCTTCATCAGGACAAATGTATGGCCCGGGGCCCCAGGGCTATAACACTCAACCAGTTCCCGTCTCTGGGCAGTATCCCTCTCTTTCAACCCGGGGAGGCACAGATTATGCATATATTCCACCTCCGGGACTTCAGTCTGATCCTGGGTATGGGTATGCTCCCAACCAAGGACGCCATTATGAAGCCTATTATGCAGCGGGGCCTGGCTATGGGGGCAGGAATGACTCTGATCCTACCTATGGTCAACAAGGTCGCCCGAATACCTGGAAGCAGGAACCAGGGTATACTCCTCCTGGAGTAGGGAACCAGACCCCTGCTGCAATGTATCCAGCCACTGGTCCCAAGAAGACCTATATCACGGATCCTCTTCCAGCCCCCTGTTCCCCACCACGGCAGCCAAAGGTAAGAGACTCATTAACATAGTGATGGGAATAAAGAGGGTGCCTATCTTAGTCTGCCTTCCCAGAAAGCAAAGCCTAAGGCAAAAGTGTATATGCTACTTTTTTCACTAGCAAATACAATCCCAGGGAAACATGAGTGAAGCATGAAAGGAGAAAGATTCTGTTTGCAAATATGTTGCCAGTATGACTACTGTTTAGTACCAGGTGCTCAATTTCAAAGGATTGCTCAATCTTGAAGGATCTTCCAAAAGGCCATATGAACCATAGAATTTCAGGAGAATTCATTCTGAGGGAGACAGGGAAAATAATTGACCTTCCAACTCTTGCCTCCTATTGGTCAAAGCTTCGGTCTTTGGTGTAGAAACTTCCTCCACACTTTGCATTTGCTTGGACACTAAGTAGATCTGTAGCATCTCATACCTCAGCAGGAACAGAAATCTGTAGGTAAAAGGGGTACAGGGCAAACTTGAGGTGCATTACTATCAGGCTGTGCCCGTGTAAAGGTGGTCAGAACTTAAGCAATACTAGTAGCACAGTGGTTGCTGGGGTGGAACAAGTGGCCAAGGACCCAGGAGACAGGTGAGGCTAAGCAGAGTTAAGGTAATACAAACAACTGGCTAGCTTCCTTTGGGACGAGACTACAGCATAATGGGGCTTGTTTGTTCATGTTACCGATCTTCCAGGTTTAACTCTATGAAGTGAGGTTTAAAAATTCTTTACGAGTGACAGTTTTTTGTTTTTTTGTTTGACTTAATTGTCAGTATGTGTGCCTTTTAAGTGAACATATTCAGTTACTTCCTTTGAATAGGTAAAATATAATACAATACATATCTACTCACTATTAGCCCTGAAACCAACACAATGTTCTTTCCCCCCACCATCGTGAGAGGAATCAATGAGAACTGCTTGGAAGGGATGAGATGGCAAAACTGAGCCAGTTTCCAGCCATTTTTGTTGGGACAGAGCCTTCTTTTCCTTTTTATTAGAGCTATGAGAAATCATAAAATTGAGAGCCTTTGATTAGCTAGAAGATGAATGGTAATTTGGGGAGATGGATTAGGTAAAAGCTTTAGACTATATTTTTAATATTTTCTATATTTTTGACAAGATTGTCAATTTTCAGAAAGATCTATTCATATTCACCATTGTAAAAAGAAAAAAAAATCCTGATAAGGTATTTACTAAACCATTATTCTCACATGAGAGTATCTGCTCTATTAATGGTTATCCCAAGTGGATGACAGATTCCTTAGAGCAGGGATCCTCAAACTTTTTAAACAGGGGGCCAGTGCACTGTCCCTCAGACCATTGGAGGGATGGACTATAGTTTTAAAAAAACTATGAACAAATTCCTGTGCACACTGCATGTATCTTATTTTGAAGTAAAAAAACAAACGGGCAAAAACACCTGCATGTGGCCCGCGGGCTGTAGTTTGAGGACACCTGCCTTAGAGGAACAGAGCCCTTTCCAACAGGTGGCACCTGTGAGGAGCCGAAGGAACCCGTTAGGCTTATGTATGACCATTACATGCATGTGGGCCAGCCATGACCATTTTCCAATGCGAAGATTCCAAGTTAAAATTTTAAATGCTTTTAAACATTACTTTTTGTTTCTAAAGTCTCTTTATAAAAAGAAATGTTATTAAGGTTTTTTGTTTGTTACTTAAATAAGGTTTGTCCCAAATAGTCAGGCTGGACCACCTGTTCCTTTTGTGAACATCACATTCCATTTGCATCATTCCCTAGCCCCCGAAGCAACCAGTTCAGAGAAATTGAGATTATTCAACCATACCATACTTTTCTTTTTTTTTTACAACTACAACAAATTCCCTGTGGAAGATTACAATAAAAAATAAGAGGTTAGACTAGCACAATTGCTATCAGCATTTAAGCTCAAATATGTATACAATTTTGCTCTGCCCCAAGCAACCTGACCGAAGGAATGGCTGAGAGATGTTCCTAAGGAAAGGAGATGGTCTCGGAGTTGTTAGTGGAGCCTGTCACCCCTCTTCGGGTACCAGACATGAGAGAAAACAAGTGTGTCTAGCTGGAGGGAATACTCTGGTGAGAGGTACTGAGCCAGTCTTCAAGTGTTCTGTTTTCCCATTATGTCACTTGGCACTCTGGACAGTCCCTCTTCAGCATTTGGAACCAATCCATTAGTGGAGGAAAAAGAACCAGCACCCACTGTCAGACCTGGATCTAAGATGTTGGGTCCAGCCACAATACTAGCATTTGGTCTGTCCCCACCAACCTACCTGGGGAGTAGAACGAATTTTTATTAACCACTCACCAGAAAACATGAAACTTTATTTTTTTTTTCTTGTTTGAATAAGGTAGCTATTCGAGATCATTTATTACATTATTACATATTTTGGATATCAGTAGATTTCATGTCATCTTTTTAAAAAAAATTTGATATATTTGTTTTTCAACAGTGTCATGTGTTTTCACATCATATTTGATTGTGCATTTTAAAAATGAAAATCAAATCATGTACTTTTTGCTGTGATTATTAGGAAGAGTGGTTAGAGGTTGATATTTAGCCATCTGTGCTTTGGGAAAGGAGAAAGAGGCTGATGACGCTACAGATAAATTCTGTGTGTGTTGTGGGACACTGGCTGATGAAGAGTGGGCTCCTTCACAGTTGGCCTTTGAGCAGAACACCATGGTATTCAGCTGCACCTGTGCACAGGGGATCTTTTTGTCCCCATATTGACTGTTTGGCTTAGTATTATGACTACTGGCTTGAGAAATGAACTCCAAATTCTTATCCTAGTTTTTCTCTTGACATTCCTCCTTCAGTTTCAGGAAAACCTCTAGACCTTTTTATGTCACTTTTCCAACCTCAGTAAAGTGGAATGTCATCTTCACTAATTAATGATTGCAAAGGGCTTGGAAATTTCCAAGGGCTGAATAATTGCCAAATGAGGATTATTCAGCTTTTCCACTGGCTTTCATTTCTTTCTAGTTTTTTTAGTCACTGATGGAAAACTGGCCTTCATGTCTTAAAACAATTATACTTTATTACATTGAGCATTTTTAAGGGTGTGTGGCATTTAAGCCGTTAAGAATAAGGTCTAAAGTGATGAAAGAGGTAAATCCCTCTTATATTTGAGATGAGATTTTGAAATTTTCCTATATCATAGAACAGCATAAAAGAAGAGAGAAGGAGGAGGAGAAAGGAAAGAAAGAAAAGAAAAGGAAGAAATGAAGAAAGTAACAAAGAAAAAATTAGAACCTTCAAGGTTAAAGGAGTTTATGATTATCGTTGTGTTCCTATAACGTGCTGAGCAGTGAATTTGCATGCTACAGTGGGCCATAATCTGTGTCCTGTATCATCTGAGCTGAGTTTCCTGAAAAATATTGTTATACTAAGTCTGCATAAGGAAGAACTGTTCTCACAGGTAATCCTCTTACAGATGCAGTAGAATCTTTTCTCTTTGCTGATTTATAAAAGCCAATATTAGCTGCAGGTTGCTGTGTAGTTCCCAGAATTCTTGTCCTGTGCATTATCTTTTCATCCCTGTGAGATGGGTTGTGTATTTTCTCTAATATTCAGATAAGGTGCCTCAGCTTGACAGCACCAGAACAAGGACCTGGAGGCAGAACATGAGTCCCAGGTGTAAAAATTAATGGCAAGGCAACTTTAGCACCCACTTCTTATCATAAAACCTAGTCTGTGTCAGCCTCTATTAAAGGGACAGATATTTGCCACCTACTGTGTGAAAGTACTGGTGTTCTCCATCTCAGAAAAGTTGGAGAGTCCTGTCCCACTAGTTTGGAGGTTAGATTAAATTCCGAAATCATCTGATATTAAAATTTCTTTGAAAAATCCTTCAGGAGGGTGAGAGTTTGAAGATCAGTTAACCATCTCTCAGTAAATCTAGCACAAAAGTTTTTCTGGCTCCAGAATTAGAAAAGATCACTGATCTTCATTTGAATTTTGAGTTTGGGGGATATGTTATGGTTCAGAGAACAGAGTGGAGGTAAGGAACTGCTGGGGTCAGTGTCGAAGGGACTCCCAGACCTGTAATTTCTGTTAAGATTAAGAAAATATTTGAGAATGTTGATATAGTAGCATTTTGAACATTCCAGCAATATCAGAATGTTTAAGTGTCTTTTAATTTTGGGAAAGAGAAGGACATATATAGTAGATCCACTGCAAAGAATCGCTAGCATTTTGGAGAGAATTATTAATATCTTTATGGTAATCCCTGTGCTAAATACCTCTCATGTCTAAGTTCAGAGAAACAAAAATGAAGAGATGGTTAGGGTAGGCAGAGGGATGGATGCAGATGCATGCCTCAGGTCAGTTGTTAATACCTCAATATGTGTGAAGATGAGAATGGAAGAGATTGTGTAGGAGGCCAGTGACAGTAATTCCTCTTTGTACAAGACTTTTCAGTTTTCAAAGCACTTTGTGAATCTCACAAAATGTTTGAGTGCTAAGCCCCAGGTAGAGGTTTCTATCTCTCTTTTACAGATGAGGGTTCAAAAGCTCAGTGATGAGAGCCACTCATTAAGGTCATGGGAGAGCCACAACTCCAATTCAGGTCTTCTGAGGATTATCTTTATGCTTTACCTGTGGCAAATCTTGGCACGCTTTGGTGTTTGGAGAGGAAGAGCTCCGTAGCAGTACCAGCACATGTGCCTCTGCTATGACCCATGGTACACGTGGATAAGTACATAAGTGGGCTCAGGCAGTTGTCCTGCAGTGTGGATAAGATCAACTGTTGGAGGGGAAGCACCCATTACATCCCTGCCTGGCACCCAGGCTTGGTGCCTTGCAGCTACACTTCCTCTTCCCCACCACCCATGCACAATTTGTCCCAAGGTTCTTTCTACTGTCACAAAGTCTCAAATCTATTTCCTTATCTAAATCCCACTTACTACCGAATTCATATGTCCTCATTTCTTACCTGAATCGTTGAAATGGCCTCTTAGTTGGTATCTCTTCCTTTAGCCATTTCCACACCCATATATCCTACCCATAATACC